TGTGAGGGTACTGGAGCTATAAGTTGCCCAATGAGATAGAAGGATGATTCAAAGTTTTGTGTGATTGTAAAGGTTCAATGTAGAAAAAAAGAGCCTTAATTCATAATTCATGATATGATAATTACCAGAATAAGCGGTAACTAGAACTATAGCACAAAAAAAATCAAGAAAATCTGACCAAGCTACTCCTCCGGGGATGAAGGCAAGTAAAATGTCAACGGTTGTTCGGTACGAACTCGATCGAACGCCACAGCTAAGGGATCTTGTGGATGGAAAAGTACCACACAAGCTGGTCCTTTTGACGCTAACGCTGGTGGAATGGGCAGTGAACAGACAAGGTGCTGGGCCCTTCTCGCAAAAATCCTAGAATAAATTAGAGCTGAGCTTACTGGGAAGGCAACCCAGTATGTTCCACATTTTCTTCACAAAACAACATTTTTTGCCAAATAAAGGAAATCAGCTTGTTGAGGTTAATATCGTTATGTTTTTAATCAATCCAGTCTTACAGTTATGAAAAAGCAAATTGTGGTACATTATTAAACAACAAAACAACAGCATACAGCATGAACAATTCAGCATAAGCATTCAAGATAGCTCCAGAACAAAAAGACTGGAAAGTCAAGAAGTAAAGCTGCATCCGAAAGAGCAGATGTCAAAATGCAAGATCAATCAATGCGGAACCAACACCGCGTTGTAACAAGAGTGACCAAGCCTCCCGTCACCAGGTCAGATATCAGCTGGGGCTTAATAGGTCACCAGGTGTTACACTAGATGCAAAAACTAAATCTTGGTGAGAAAAGATGAAGAGAAGCAGTGACTTGTTCTACTTGTCCTAGGTTCTGATTGAAGAGATTTAACTTGGGTGCAATAGAAAAAACCGCTGTCGAAACTCACTTCACTGGACCAAGATCGAATCGCATGCGGCCATACATCAAATTCGAATGAATCTTTTCATCAATAGAAAAATACAATGGATCTAAGTACGGGTTTTCCGATGATGAGTGCTAAAACGTGCAACTTAACGACCATGAAATATGGCTCTTGAGACACAAGGCAGGGGCTATTACATTCAAAAGATGACC